GGCCAGGGCCGGGGCCGGGGCCGGGGCCGGAGGGTGGGCGCACCTGCACGCGCCCCGCGGACCGCGCGGCGTGGCCCAGGCGCCGCCACAGCAGCGGGCTGAGCGTGAACCCCACGAGGTAGTCCAGCCCGCGGCGCGCCAGGTAGGCGTCCACCAGCGGCGTGCTGACCTGGCAGGCGTGACGTCAGCGTGATGTCATCGTCGGCGGCGCGGGGCGTCGCCGTCGCTTCGGGGCGCGGCGCAGAGCTGTGCACGCAGGCCCCGCATCGAGGCAGCAAAACAGCCGCCCGCCGAGACATCAACAAGCCTGGCGCTCCCCGCATGCTGGGGGTGGGGTGCGGGCTTCTGCCATCTGCTGCTGCCGGATCCGGCGCCGCCCCACCTCTCGTGGCGCCCTGAGGGCGGACTCGACGGCCCTCCGGGTGACCTCGCTGAACGTCACCCGCGACACCGCCTTGCCGCGCAGCGCGCCGCCGCGCTGACGGGGGCCAGGAGGGGCGCGGGGAGCATTCAGGCGGCGGGCTGCCAGGCTGTGGCGAGCTGCCATCCGCGGTGACTGCCCTGGAACCCCTCCCTCGACGGTTCTGTTTCGCCTCGCCTCCGCAAAAATCAAACAAGCCCCGCCGACACACCCCGCCAGCCGCTCCCGCGCCCCGCCCTCAAAACATGTTCAGGTCGCCACGCCACGCAACAACGTCATCATTGTCGTTCCTCAGATCTTCAGATCACACACCTCCAGCTCCTGCAGCACGTGCCACGAGATCGCCTCCCCCTCGCGGTCCGGGTCCGTCGCGAGCACGACCCTATCCGCCGCCGCGGCCGCCGCTTTCAGCTCCCGCATCCTCTCCCTCGCGCGCGGCAGCAGCTCCCAATCCATCGCAAAGCTCTCGTCCGGCCGGACGGAGCCGTTTTTGGGCGGCAGGTCGCGCACATGGCCGTAGCTGGCGAGGACCTGGGCGGGGGGAAGGTGCGGGGGCGCGCCATGGGGCGCCGCTGCTATGGGCCGAGGCTGGGTTTCCCCCCTCACATGCGGACGAAAACGTGCTCGTCCTGCTGCACCAGGCAAGGAAACGCAGTCGCAGCTGCTCGGCAGCTGCTGTGCACACACCTTGTACTCGTCCCCGAGAAATTTTTGGATCTTCGTGGCCTTTGCGGGCGACTCGACGATCATGAGCGCGCCCCCGCGCCGCGGCGGCGGCGCCGCTGCCGGCGCGCCCCGTACGGCTGTTGAGGCTGCGGCGGCTGCCGCCGAGAGCCCCGCCCGGCGGCGCTGGTGGTGTTGGTGCAGCAGCTGAGAGGGTGTTGGTGTGAGGGATGCAGAGGTGGCTGTTGCAGAGGAGAAGCCTGGCATTGCCCACAAGTCACAGCGCTCGCATACACTGAGGCGACGAGGCACCGGCCGCCGCGCAGAAAACCGGGCCCTGCGGCGAACTCACCAGCGCGCCGCGCCGCATGCACGGCAGTCGGCATCCCGACAGCATTGTGTGGGGCTGCTGGCTGCTCTGCAGCATTGCCGGCCCCCCGCGTGTTGAGGTGCGCGGCAGCGCGCCGCTGCGGCGCGCGCGGCACCCAGCTCGCGGCCGCCTCGAGTGCGGGTGCGCTGTTGTCCGAGAGCAGCGGGCCAAGCGAGGCCTAGATAAACTGATCGATTGCTTCCTTAGCTAGGTATGCGGCCAGAAGCAATGCTCCAGAGTGTGAAAAAAATGCAAATCCCTGATCAAGGTGGTTAAGCCTATCGGTAATGAGTAGATGTGAAAAAGCGATTATTATACACCAAATAAGTCGCTGGCTACACACGTCTTGCCGAAATGAGATCACATTATTGACTTTCAGATACGTAGTATCAGCTGTTCCAGGCGTTGAGCAGAGCTCACAACACCCGCATTGTTTTTCAATCAGAGCCGACTCGTAGCCAAAGCTGGCATAAGCGGGAGCCCTCAGCACTGGCCCCTGGTCAAGCCGGCTGGCCCAGTGACACCAGGTGACAGCGGCATGGCCAAGTCAGCATGTACGGTACGTTGGGGACCCGCGCACATGCACCGTCCAGGGCCTGAAACGCAACCATTTAACGTGAGCAGGCCTCCAACGATGCGGGCGACAATGTAGCAAGGGGACGGGGTGCTAACAAAAAAAATGCGGGTGCATTTGACAGCATGGGCCACGACGCCGCTTTTGGCGCCGACGCTGGGCAACTGCAAAAGCGCAAGAGGTGCTCTGCAGCTGTACCATGACTGCCGGTCAGTTGGCACAGTTACGCGTTGCGGGCGTGCCCGTCGTTTGTGTTTCCTACTCTACAGGGGCTGAGGGTTGCACCAGCATGCAGGCGGCGCCCGCGACCAGCAGGTACACTGCAGCCAAGACGTTGGAGAAACGGCGCCGGCTGTTTGCCGAGCTTGTGCGTGCTCAAGGCCTGGAGGCTTGCAAAGATCGTGACGGCTTCGATTCCAGCACTGCGATCTTTGCGTGCGTTTCCAGGTGGGGCCACAGGGGCCATGGTGCTGGTGGTGGAGTGCGGCTTGCTGGTGGCAGGTGGCGGCGTCCCTGTGAAGGCGTCTGTGGTTCTGTCCCTGTACCGGATCAAAGCGCTCGCAAATTAATCGTGGGCAGGGGGGAGGGGGCGGGTGTGCGCAGCAGTAATGGTGCTGAGGGTCGACGCAGGCAGTTCCCGCTAGGGGCCGGCGCATGTCTCGCCAGGGGCTGCAAAAGTGATGTCGCGTTCCTGTTCATTTTGTCGGGTACACAAGGATTTTAGTGCAGCTGCCTCCTGCTCCGCCTCTCCTCTTTTGCGTTGCAATTGACTGACCTCAGGTTAACAAGACCCGGCATGAGCAACCCACTACAGAGTGCGGGAGACACTCGCCCGTCAAGCGTGCCTCCTTCTGCTCTTGCAGTGCACTCCCCGCTCTCTCACAACTTGCGGTGCGTGCTGCAACATTGGGTGAGCAGACGACTGGTGGGACGGGCTCGCCACGTTTGACCAGTCTAGCAGGAGCCGGCCGGAGAGCGTCCGGCGGCAGGCATTCCCTCGTGAACAGAGGGTGATGTGATGCTCTCAGATGCTATGATTTTGCTGCCATTCAAACGATACGATTACTCGTTGCTTGCGTCTGATCATCCGAGTCGTGCTGCGCGTGCTTTCTGACGGCGGTAGCGCGTTTGTGGCTCACGGCTCATACATGAAGATCATTAATGTCAGCCTTGAGCGATCCACCTTTGCCGTTCACGTTTACCTCAATCGAGATGCGGCCAACTTCTGCTGGGTTCATCACCGGTGTGTCACTGTACAAATTGATACCCTGCTGCCCCTTTGGCGTGAACAAAAACTCATGAATAGGTGCTGACTACAAAATTGTACAGTTTTTCGTTCACATCCTAGTTTGCAAGACCGCTTTCACCGTGCTGTGCCCGCAGAGCGTGGCTCCGTTGGCGTGCACGTCCTCATCGCAGCCGGTGTAGTACTCCGATATCAAAGGACGGCTGCCGCATACGCGCGACCCTCGCCGCCGCGATGGCGCGCAAAGCAGCATCGACGGCTCAAGGCACGCCCACCACGGGCGCCGCCAAGTCCCGATTTGGCCAGCTGAGGGGGTGGCTTGCCGCCAAACTGAGCTACGATGAGGGCCTAGATGAGAACGGCAAGCCGAAGGAGCGGTAAGTGCAGCTTCTGGACCTTTGACTCTGGGCTGGCCCCTGGACCCCTCGTTTTGTCGCCTGACGGGATCTGGGGATTACGTGATCAGCTGCTGCGGATCACTCACACCCCCGCCTCGCAGCCGGCGCAGCACCGGCCGCGCCCCTCGTCCGTGCGGCCTCGCGCCCCGCCCGCGCCCCCCCGCGTTGCCAGGCGCGTCCGCTCAGCGTCGCCGCCCGCGGTGCGCCGTCGCCCGCGCCCCCTCCCCCTGCAGCTGGTGCCCCGAGCAGGAGGCCGGCCTGATCTCGAAGCTCTTCTTCTTCTTCACCGGCGGCCTCATCCAGAAGGGCTCCCACAAGCACCTCGAGCAGGCGGACCTATGGACCACCCACAGCCAGGATGAACCAGCGAAGCTCTGGGAGGCGTTTGAGCGCGACCTAAAAGCGACGGCGACGGCGCAGGCTCCGCAGGTGCGTTTGTCGGGACCCGTCGAGTTGCACGATATGGATGGACTGTTCCAATGTGTCTGAGAAAAAGCAGCTGTTCCTCTTTCACGATATTTTATGTATTATTTCAGTTTGAATCTCCGGGTTCTCAACTCAGCGGGCGCCCTGTCAGCGGCGCAAAGCACGGAGCCCCCCGCTCATCGGAACCCCACCCCCGGCCCCCGCAGGGCGTCCTGTCGAAGGCGCTCTGGCGCGCCCACGGGCGCCTCTTCATTGTCACCGGCGTCATCAAGATCTTCCATGACGGCATCATGTTTACTCAGCCCTACATCCTGGAGGAGCTGCTGAACCACCTGACGGGGCCGGAGGACAAGGGCGCGGCGCTGGGGCTGGCGTTTGCGCTGGTGGGCTGCGCTATACTGGAGGCGCTCTTTATTAACGTCTACTTCAACATGCTCTTCAGGTGCGCGCGCGTGCGTGCGCATGTGTGTGTGTGTTTGCGTGTGTGCGTGTGTATGTGTGTGTATGCGTTGGGGGGTTTCAGAGGTTGAGTAGCGAGTAGTATTGAGGATGGGGGGGGGTTGTGGTGTGGGGCAGGGGGGTGCGCGCAAGGCCGCAGCACCCTGGATGGAGGCTGGACTGCACAAGCCGGCTGTCTGACGTGGTGTGTGTTTCGACTGCGCTGGGTTGAAAGGCTGGGGGGTCGGCAAGGCGAGATCAGGCGCGGGATCGCGGGTCTGGCGGGCTGTTGCATTTGTGGAGACTACAGCCCAGGCCCCCCCTGTCCCCTTCGCAGCGCACGCCCTCCTGGCGCCCGCTGCTGCCCTGACACGCCGTTGCGCCG